TGCTCTCCGTTGAGCAACATCCTTCCTAGCACGATAGCCTCGATAATGGGATTGAATTTTCAGAGCGGCTTCGTTCTCCCTGTCAAGCTGGTCAAGGCTGTTCTGGCGTTCTGGAGTCCGTCGTTCGCTGGCGAGTTTTTTCCGTGTGACGTGTCCTCGAAATCCAGCTTGTATCTTTGCAGCTGCTGCTTCTTTCTCTTCATCTTTCACCACATCCTTTTCTGCTGAATTCTGGCAAGACTCTAGATCTTTTCTCGCTAGATGTCCGCGGTAACCTGACTGAATCTTTCTTGCTGCATCGTTTTCAACAGCACTGCGTTTGCGAGTTTGGTATCCACGATAACCTGCTTGAATCTTCGCTGCAGCTTCTTCTTTCTGATTCAGACTTGTCTGTGATCCAAGCTCTTTGCGAGTTTGATAACCCCGATACCCTGCTTGAATTTTAGAAGCCGCAGCATTTTCAGTTTTGTTAGATATCGATTTTCTTTCTTGATATCCCCGATAACCAGCCTGGATTTTTGCAGCTGCTTGATCTTTTTCATTATCCTTGTCAGGTTTCCTCTGCTGAATCTGATTGTTACTTACATTTCTCCGCGTTAAGTACCCTCTATATCCAGCTTGTATCTTTGCTGCGGCAACGTCTTCTTCTTTCATCTTATTATCATCAGAAACAGGTGACGTTTTCTGTGGACGTTTTTTGCTCTGTGACGACTCTGGTGATTTCAGCTCTTTGCGAGTCTGGTGTCCCCGGTATGCGGCCTGTATTTTTGCAGCAGCGATGTCCGTATCTTCCGGCCGAATTCCTGACGACTGCTGTGAGTTTTTCCTCGGGACACCACTTTGTTTGCCAGCCTTTAGTTCCTCTCGAGTTTCATGACCCAGGTGTGCCGCTTGGATTTTTTCTGCAGCTTTATCGTACTCTTCTAAGTGATCATCGTAATGACGATGATTGATTTCCTTTGGGGGTTTTGGAGATGTCCTACCCTCTCGTGCTTCATGACCTCGGAAAGCGGCCTGAATCTTTGTGGCTGCATTGTCTGTGTCTTCGAGTCTGTTCGCTGAAGAAGACTGTTTGAACTGTCTTGATTCCGGTGGTTGTTTTGATTTTGGCTCTCTGAGCTTCTTGTTACCATAAGCATCTTTTATTTTGTCAGGTGACTGTGGAATATAGTTCCAACGCTTGTGTGAGGAAATACCAAGACGATATGCAGTAAGCAAAAACAGTTCATGCAAAACACATTGACTCAGAAAGCTGGTTTGACTTCAAGTAAGACTACAATACAAATATTGAATACAAAGAAGATTATTCTTCTTTCTTCTTACTCTTTTTTTTCTAATTCTTCTTCATACAAACTTCTTCTTACTTTCTTACTCCTATTATAATTTCTTACTTCTTAGTTACTTTTAATTTTTTTTTTTTTAAACTTTCTTTCTTTAACTTTCTTCTTCGTAACTTCTTGTTCTTACTTTTGTTCTTGTTACCTTTGACTTCTTACCTTCATCTTATTTCTTTCTTCATCTTCCTATCTTTATTTTTTTTTTCTCACTTTTTACATTCCTTTCCTTACCTTCTTCTTGTTACCTTCTTTTTGTTACCTTCTTCGTCTTCTTTTTATTTCTTCGTCTAACCTTTTTTTTTCTTACTTTCTTGTTTGCTGCTTCGTCTTCTCCTGCCCCTGTTACTTCTTCTTCTTCTTCTTCTTTTGTCTTTAGTATCCTATGCTTTGCTGTTTATTTTAGACATATGTCTGTCATATTTGGCTGTTTTAATACATACTGTCTGCATATGTTGAATCATACATGATTATTTTGGTACACATGTATAAATACGTAATAAAGGCTCAAACGTTTAATTGTAAACGGGCAAACAGGCAGATAGGCACGTGCACCTTCGTACTGTTGCAGGTTTTGCTCCTACACAAGCATTAATCCACAAATGTTCTCACCTGTTCTCTATGAGTATCTGGTTTTCTTTGAATATTTGGCTGTGTCTGTCTACTCCTGTTGTTTGGGTAATTGCTGTAACCGTTTGCCTGCTGATAGCCCTGCGGGGAAAATGTATAGATATCCCTAAGTCGGTAGTAATGTGACCTGGCTTATGTATAGACATCCGTAAAAGGGTTTGGTAAAATCATATCTGTCAAGTACAGACTTTAGTAAGTCAATGGTAAATTTGCATTTAATGTACAGACATCCGTAAAACAGTGGTAAAGTCCCATTTGTCAAGAATAGACATTCATAAGTCAATAGTAAATTTGCATTATAAATGTAAAGACATTACTAAATCAGTTGTAAAAACTTATTGATAAGACCTATAAACATCCCTAAGTCAGTAGTCAAATCACAATGATCGTGTACATATATGTGTCAGTCATTAGTAAAGTCACGCTGATATTATACAGACATTCGTAAGCCAGTGGTAAAAGTCACAAAGTTCATAAACAGACATTTTTAAACCAGTGGTAAGATAGCACTGATGATGTAAAGACATTCGTAAGTCAGTAGTAAAATCACATAGTTCATTGACAGACATTTTAAATCAGTGGTAAACTCACATTGATTGTGTACAGACATTCGTAAGTCAGCAGTAAACGTGAATAGGCAACGGGTAATTAGTATTGAAATAATACTGGATGTGTGTAAATACTCGTAAGTCAGTTGTAAACTAACTGATCATGATTTCTTCATAGAATGATAGGGGGAAAAAACCAATTTAAATATTTAGACATTCTTCAGGGAATAAAAAGGAAATATTTACCAAATAAAACCCAAATGTTCTTAATAACATTACATGTGTTTTTGAATAAATGATTGGTTGGTTGACTGATTGATTGACTGATGGCTGATTGGAAGGTTGGTTGATTGTTTCGTTAGGTGCTTGATTGATTGACTAGCTAGGTTGCTGGTTGTTTGGTTGACTGATTGGTTGTTTGTTTGATTGGATTGTTGGTTGATTGATTTGTTGCTTGGTTGTTTGGTAGTTTGTTTGTCTGTATGCTTGTCTAGTTGGTTGTGTGGCTTGGCTGGTTGGTTGGATGGTTGACTGGTTGGTTGTGTGGTTGGATGGTTGACTGGCTGGTTGTGTGGTTGGCTGGTTGACTGGTTGATTGTGTGGCTTGGCTGGTTGTATGGTTGACTGGTTGCTTGTGTGGCTGGCTGGTTGCTGGTTGGTTGTGTGGTTGGATGGTTGACTGGTTGGTTGTGTGGCTGGCTGGTTGACTGGTTGGTTGTGTGGTTGGATGGTTGACTGTTTGGTTGTGTGGTTGGATTGTTGACTGGTTGGTTGTGTGGCTGGCTGGTTGACTGGTTGGTTGTGTGGTTGGATGGTTGACTGGTTGGTTGTGTGGTTGGATGGTTGACTGGTTGGTTGTGTGGTTGGATGGTTGACTGGTTGGTTGTGTGGTTGGATGGTTGACTAGTTGGTTGTGTGGCTTGGCTGGTTGGTTGTATGGTTGACTGGCTGGTTGTGTGGCTGGCTGGTTGACTGGTTGGTTGTGTGGTTGGATGGTTGACTGGTTGGTTGTGTGGCTGGCTGGTTGACTGGCTGGTTGTGTGGTTGGATGGTTGACTGGTCGGTTGTGTGGTTGGATGGCTAACTGGCTGGTTGTGTGGTTGGGTGGCTGACTGGCTGGTTGTGTGTCTTGCTAGTTGGTCAGGCTCACATTTGACAATGGCGTTTTGTTCTGTAGCACAAGAACCTATCTTTCACAACTGAAATACCTGACCTATTCACCCTAAAGGCACCAAACCTCATTACCTGCGCTGGAATGTCTGTCCTTGTGTCTCCACTGTCCTGTACTGGGCGAGCACCTTGTGTGTTTCGGTTCGTTTGTTTGGCCTTGAACATTCCACCTTGATCTAGAAATACAGAAATGTGTACTGTACTGGGGGATGTTTGTTCCTAACGTATCAGTGTTGCCCTTGCTTTGGAGTAAGCAGGTTTCTGCTGGGACAATGTAACCACAAATTTATCTTTCAACTACACCTTTACGAATGCAGGTAGAGGATCAGTCGCAACTTTAGATAAATACAAGAACGAACGAACGAACAAACTTCATTTTCAAAGGGTTGCAAATTAGGTACGCAGGCCTGTCTTACATTCGGCCCCTCCAAACTCTCATCTTTCACACAGCAGTTGTATTTAATTAATAAAGCAAATTATGTTCACGTAATATTATGCAAATTATAAATATCAAGTCAAAAACAAATGCATGGGTGGTAAAATATGTGCGCACGCTCGCGTGCGAACACACACACCCACATACACACGCAAACCCATTCACTCACTTACACACACACATAGGCACCCAATACACACATTCATCCACTTACATACGAACATGCACATACACACATACATACACATATACATACACACATATACATACACACATACACACACACTCATACGCCACAGTCACCCACACAACATACGCTCTAAAACAAACACGCATACAGCCCAGACACATACAGACACACACAGCTATACACACACACATTCATACACACACGTAGCCGCATAAAAATATCTTTACAAATACACACACACACACACACACCGACGTACACAGACATAAACCCACACAGACACACACACATGATGTCACAGGCACACACACAAACACATACGCATGCAAGGAAAACACACAGACACACACATAGACATACGCAACACTCACACATACACAGATACACACACAGACACGCACTCAGTCGCACACGCACACATACGCACACAGACATACATGCAGACGCATAAACAAACACAGAGACACGCAGACATTATATAATAGACACACCGATAGAGACACACACAGATACACACAAAGCCACACACAAGAATAATTCTTAACACATTGCTGTTGGCATTTTTTGCAAAATGAAACACGTCCAAGTGTGAAACACACAATAAACTTTTTTTAAAAGTGGCAAGGGAAGACAACTTAAGTTTTAGCTCTTAACTATCTGCATGCCTTCTTTAATAATTTCACATTGTTCAGCCGACTTAACTTGATTACTGCTGCGGCACCCCCAGAATATGTCACATCTCCCCACATTATTTCCAAATATTCAATATTTATTTGCCATTAAGCACATTATTATTATTATTATTATTATTATTATTATTGTGCAGTTAAATAGGACTAAACGTCCCTTGAGCCTGATGTTAGAAAAGAAAGATAAAAACGTTACAAGTTCCACATCTGGGCTGACAGTAAATGTTATACTGATGTGAGCAAAGGTGAAAGGTCAATATATATATATATATATATATGTGTGTGTGTGTGTGTGTGTGTGTGTGTGTGTGTGTATGGTAAACACGAGACAGACTAAATAAAAATGACGGTACACAACACTATCAGTTGGCGTGGCAGATGGTTGGATTAATATCCATAATCAAGTTTACCTTTATCCAAATCGAAGGTACTGTTCCGTTCAGAACTTGGGGTGTGATGTAACGGTTTCATCGGGTATCCTCTATCATCATCATACGGACCTCTCCTTCTATGGGAGAGAGAGAAAGTATATAAGACCCTGTGTTTGCCGTGTAACCACATATCTTCTTGTTCTTAGCGTTCGCCGGCTTTAAACTACAGCTGACAGTTTTGGTTGTTCGTCTACTCCAGGGCTTTGGTCATATCAGAATTGGAGAGTTCTGCGTGCAAATCCGTATCACAGATCTGGCATATTTGTGTGCAGACTATTGGTTTCTCGCCTCAGACAGGTGCACTCCGAAGCCTGTATAAAAACATTCATGTCAGTATGCAATATTGTAAGTAATCCATTACAGTTAACATTCTCAATACCGAGGAAAAGACACGAGGATTCTCTCAGAAACGGAGAGTGAAGCAGGACTAGCCTAGCAGCCATTGTTTCTCAGTGTCATGCTGACGGGAACTCTGGGGTGGGGGGGAACAGGGCTGCCGATGGGATTTATTGGAAAAACCTAGCTAGGCTGAACAAAAACCCAAGCAATACATAAGCAAAGAATTGAAAAACCTAGCTAGGCTGAACAAAAACCCAAGCAATACATAAGCAAAGAATTGAAAAACCTAGCTAGGCTGAACAAAAACCCAAGCGATACATAAGCAAAGGAAAAAAAAACAGATTGTGAAATGTACAAAATTTATAGTTACGAAACGAAACATTTACCACTTTTATATGAGGATTTTTTTTTTTTTTAAACAGATTTCCCCAAAGCGTCCACACACACACACACACACACACACACACACACACACACACACACACACACACACACACACACACACACACACAGAGAGAGACAAACCAGATCTGGTGGGAAAAGCCCAGTATTGGTAGCCCTGTGTGGGACGCCACCCTCGAAGCTGCTGGAACTCTGCGTTGGCTGCTAGAGATGGGAAATAGGCGCCAACAGAAATTTCCCCAGCCACTGTGATGTCAGTTATTAACTTACCTCAATCCATTTCATCAGTAGGTTTGGATGGAAGATATTGCCATCAGGGTACGGAGTATTAACTGTTCACATATGATAGTAAAAGGACCCTTTTTCACGCCTTTAGGTGTACTGGGCACATAGGGCTGGACCTATTCTGTATAGACCAATCAGCACTCAATGGGTGATGTCGTCAACATCCGCACACCGCCTTTACTTCATAGGAATTTACCTGGTACCCATTTAAGGCTGGGTCGACCTGGGAACCAAAGTCATTTGTGAAAGAAGTCCGGTTCTGTCTGCACCTGAACCCAGGACCTTCGGATGCGCAGGCGAGCTACACCACGACTCACATGCTATAGGCTACGACATGATGAGGCTGGGTGGTCAGGCTCCATTCTGGCGTTCTTCTTTACAGACAAGTGGTAAACAATCGTAAACAGTATACATCTTCGAAATCGGAGTGTATCTGCTAGAGAGAAGAAGAACTAACAGTCTGCTTACAAATAAGCCAGATCTGTAAAACAGATGTGCAAAGCGCTGGAACAAAATCAAAGTCCAGAAGTGGACGAACAACCAGAATTTTCCGTCCGAATTTACAGCCGGTGATAGCGAAGAAGAAGAACATTGTATAATTTGTTTCCCACACTGGTTCATTTAGAGCCCAAATGTAGATAAGACCCAGTCATATTTTAGGGGTAAAATGACATTAGTAACATATTTACCTTTACTGGTGATTGGTAATATAATGTCACATTTACCTGTTACTGGTAACAGAGCTCTGGGTCGATGTGTTTGATTGTTCCGGCGACGACTGACTCAGGTTGTTAGTTGAGCGAGGAAATAAGGGTGCCAACCTGCAAACAGTAGTTATGATCAACAAAGACATTATAAGGATATTTCTATTATAACTTTTTTTTTTTAAATTAACGGTTGCGTAATCGTCATTTCGCTTGCACATTCAGCACTTCAAGAACAAAATTGATATTTACATTCAGCTGTCAAGAAACAGTTGACACACACATACACATTCTGCTGTCAAGAAACAGTTGACACACACATACACATTCTGCTGTCAAGAAACAGTTGACACACACATACACATTCTGCTGTCAAGAAACAGTTGACACACGCATACACATTCTGCTGTCAAGAAACAGTTGACACACGCATACACATTCTGCTGTCAAGAAACAGTTGACACACACATACATATTCTGCTGTCAAGAAACAGTTGACACACACATACACATTCTGCTGTCAAGAAACAGTTGACACACACATACACATTCTGCTGTCAAGAAACAGTTGACACACACATACACATTCTGCTGTCAAGAAACAGTTGACACACGCATACACATTCTGCTGTCAAGAAATAGTTGACACACGCATACACACTCTGCTGTCTAGAAACAGTTGACACACACATACACATTCTGCTGTCAAGAAATAGTTGACACACACATACACATTCTGCTGTCAAGAAATAGTTGACACACACATACACATTCTGCTGTCAAGAAATAGTTGACACACACATACACATTCTGCTGTCAAGAAATAGTTGACACACGCATACACATTCTTCTGTCAAGAAAAAGTTGACACACACATACGCATTCTGCTGTCAAGAAATAGTTGACACACACACACACATTCTGCACAAGAAAAGTTGACACACACATACACATTCTGCTGTCAGAAACATGGACACACACATACACATTCTGCTGTCAAGAAATAGTGGACATGCATACCATTCGGCTGAAAAAATTGATACATTTACACATTCGGCTGTAAGAAAACATGAATACATACACATGCTGTCGTTCACACACTTAACACATTCTGCTGTCAAGAAAATACAACACATACACATTATGCTTCAAACAAAGGCAAAGACACATTCTGCTGTCAAGAAATAGTTGACACACACATACACATTCTGCTGTCAAGAAATAGTAATGACACACACTACACATTTTCAAGAAACAGGCGCATACACATTCTGCTGCAATAGTTACACACGACAGCTGTCTAACACAGGCACACACATACAATTTATCAAAGAAATAGTTGACACACACATACACGTTGAACAAGAAATAGTTGCACACATACAGTCAAGAAATAATTGATACTGACATTCTTTAAGAAACAGGCACACAAGCAATTTTACACACACACTTTACACATCATGCTGGCAAGAAAAGTTGCACACATACACATTCCTGTCAAGAAATAGTTGACACACATATACACACAGGAAACAAGCAATTACACACACATATACACATTCTTTCAAGAAATAGTTGATACAAAAAGCACATTTACACCGACAAATACACACACACAGACACATACACACACACACACACACACACACACACACACACACAAGACATTGATACATTCATACTGAAAACTTACACTGCGTTAAACTTAGGCTACAAGCAATTCATAACTTAACACATTCAACACATTTACACATACATTTAACAACAAGCAATGTACACCTGCTTTTAACAGAGACAACAGGCAATCCACACTAACATTTAACACGAGAAACAAGCATTTAACACCTATATTTAACATAGACAAGAAATTTACACCGAAATTTAACACTGGCAGAAAGCAATTTACATCTACATTTAGTACAGGCAACAAGCAAGTCGCACTTACAATTTCCGCCGAAGTCTCGGTGATGTGGAAAGGTTCTTTGTACCATGCTCACTGTACCGAGCTCTTTTGAATTTCTCCGCCCTTTTACAAGCGCAACATACTGACCATTGTGTACGATCTGATCGATGTCTGACACTTGAACTCCGGTGAGGAAGTATAATCTGGGGACAAAGTTCCAGTGTGGTTTATGGTTTATTCGACGGATCAACATCATGGCACACGGGTGTAACCCATAAGTGCTCCGTTATACTTCTAACTGAAGCCTGAGTCTGAAGAATCTCAGCGCAGTGCACGAACTCCGTTGCCTTGGCGAGGATCCTGAAATACTTTGGGCAGATTTTAAACTGAAAATTTTGCCCGGGCAGCACCGTTAAGCTACTCTTTTTTCGATTTCCAACTGCCAGTGTGTGTTTTTTTTTTTTTTTTTTAACGTGAGGCAACAATACACCACACGGGCGTCCGATTTACTACCCAAAGACCAGGGGCAAATTACTTGAAGTCCAGGTGAAAAAAATCCCAGCCTTCACTGGGGTTTGAACCCGGGTGGCTAAGACTTGTAGTAGAGAACCTTTTTTCAGGTGGCGCCCCTCTTGATTATATGGCTACCCCCCCCCCCCCCCACCCCTTTTCCTTTTCACTACCCCAAACTGAAACTTCCTCCCCCCCCACCCCCCCCCCCCTTACCCGCCGGTTGGAGATCACTGATTTAAAGATTAGTGGATGCGTTTAACAATTACATGACTTTCATGTACTAAGACTCGATTTCCAAATCATATCCTGATATACGGAACTGAATCATGCAGGAACAGTTGGACGAGTAGTTAACAGTTATTTGGAGGCGAGAAGCTGCAGTTTTACCGGCGAATGATGATAATAATACCCTGGATATATGTATATATATATATAAGGATAATGCAGATGTCTTGAAGGAACTGACTCAGGAAGAGAACTGATTGTCCACATCAGAAAGAGACAATCTATATTGTTTAATCATGTGATGAGAAGGTGAAAACTGGATTACATCCTGACAGGGGGAAAGTCTGAGGGGAAATGAGGCAGAGGGAGATCGAGAGAGAAGATGCTGGAGAGCCTGATAACATGGCATAGAGAATCATCTGTGTCAGAATTGATTGAAAGTACACGAGACAGGAGGTTGTGTATAGACATGACTGCTAACGTCACAAGGTATGGAAGGTTATCTGTATCAAAAGTGACTGAATGTACACGAGACAGAAAGTTGTGGACTAACATGAATATCAATGCCACACGACATGGACTACGGAAGAACATCTTTGTCAGAATTGATTGAAAGTACATGAGACAGAAAGTTGTGGATGTACTTGACTGCCAACACACACGGCATAGACTATAAGAATAAGTCCCATAGTAATTACTGATATTGGAATGTGAAGCATTAGGCCTTCATATGTTTACGGCCAGTGGTTCTCAACCTGTGGGTGGTTATATTGTGTGTATCGAGCGACCCTTTTACATGGGTCGATTGCGACCATCGAAAAACACATATTCAATGAAGTTATGAAGGAAAATAAATGTTTGGGGGTCGCCTCAAGATGTGAAAACTGTATTAACGGGTCGCAGCGTTAGAAAGGTGGAGAGCGGCTGTACTAGGTTATCAGAGATGACATCGAGTGGGAAATTCCTTTCCTCGTTGCCTTTCCTTTCCAATCAAATCCTAGACAGTTCTTGAAGTGAAGTGGCATTGATTTTTATAACTCTATGTCAACTTGTAAAGGCAAATCTTGTTACTTCTGTGGACATCTAGAAAATAAAACACTTAACAATTTCGAAACTGTCAGTTGGGTTCTGTTTAACTGAGCTACAAAATGACTTCATAACACTCAGGATATTTCCTTATGCGCTCTGTCCTCATCTTCAGCAGCCAACACAGTGTTTTAACTTCGATGGAATCAACAGCAGTCTGGTTTTATTTCCGCCTCGCCTTCCCCTTGAGTGATGAGCCAAGACAGGCTCTAGCTGATGGGCCATGCTGAGGACATCACCTAACCGGGCTCAGGATACGTTTAAACGTATTAATTTGTACATTTAGACGTATTATTAGCCCTGGTTTGGTGACGTCAGCACCATGGCCCGTCAGCTGAAATCTGATCTTGGTTGAACGGCAGCAAAATTCCCTGGCCACGTCCTTGGCCAAAAGTGGGAAAAGGGATGGAGTTTTTTCATACATTGTTGTCCTACCTTTCGACGGTTCCCAGGCAGTCTTCCTTCAAAATCTCATTAACATGGGCCACGACGTTCGGCAAAGTGAATGGCTTGACTCTAGGAGTCAGTAACACGCGACGGGGTCCTTTGAGATCTTCTCCGTTAGGCCACACCCTGAAAAACACCAGTAAACAAGTGTGACATTTGGCTATATCAGGCCAGATACATAATGAACATAATTAAGCCGAAAAAATATATCTTCCGCTGAGAAAGGATGCTCTCTTTTTTTTTTTTTAATGCTGTTTGAATGGCGAGTGTGTTTCGAAGGGCCAAATGTAAGACGGGCCTGCGTGTCTAATTTGTATCCCTTTGAAAATAAAGTGCGTTCGTTAGTTGAGTTCTTACTGTTGTATTCATCTGATGAGATACAGCGAAATATGTCAGACAATTACTGTCACCGGGAGTCGCCGTGGCAGAGTGGCTAGACGCTCGTAGCGGATCGGAAGGTCGTTGGTTCGCTCCCTGGCGGAGCAGAACTTTTTTCAAAAATGACTTTGGCTCCCAAGTCGGTGGCTCCCAGGTCGACCCAGCCTTGAGTGGGTGCCTGGAAGTAAGGGCGGCCGGCGTGATGCTGACCACATCTCTTATCTTGTGCCCTTTAGTCTATAAAAAATATTGGTCCAGCCCTATATGCCCATAGATGCCCTATACGCCTGAAGGCGGGGAAAATGGTCCTTTTTTTTTTTTTTTTCTAAAACAGACGAGTACTTGTCCTTACAGTTGTGGACTCTGGTTATTTTGACAACTCCAGTAGCTACCTTATGTCTTTCATGTACATGCATGTTGTTAGCTTTGTCGGGACTGCTGTCGTTTACCTTTAACACGTGGCAGTGATAGACATTGTGAAAGCAGAATTAGGGGATAAATTAGTTGCTGTATAGTTTGAACTGTGAGAAACTACTTGTCAAACTTTGTTCCTACACTACATCTTCGCCATTTTACCTCATTTAATATTTATTCTTGTGCATATTTATATATTACTAAAGAGCATCAATCAGAGTTACAAACAAATGTACATTAACATCTCATACTTGATTAGCATAGATTGTGTTTCGCATTTCTTTATCCTTCCGGATGTCACATACTGCCTGCTGTAGTTCATCGGCTCGCCCTGGGAAAACATAAACATTTGAATGAATTTTAGTTATAAAAATACCGCCTTTCTTCTTCTTCTTCTTCTTCTTCTTCTTCTTCTTCTTCTTCTTCTTCTTCTTCTTCTTCTTCTTCTTCTTCTTCTTCTACTTCTTTTTCTCCTTTTTCTTCTTCTTCTTCTTCTTCTTCTTCTTCTTCCTCTTCTTCTTCTTCTTCTTCTTCTTCTTCTTCTTCTTCTTCTTCTTCTTCTTCTTCTTCTTCTTCTTCTTCTTCTTCTTCTTCTTCTTCTTCTTCTTCTTCTTCTTCTTCTTCTTCTTCTTCTTCTTCTTTTTTTTTCTTTTTCTTCTTCTTTCTTCTTCTTCTTCTTCTTCTTCTTCTTTTTTTTTTCTTTTCTTCTTCTTCTTCTTCTTTTCTTCTTCTTCTTCTTTCTTCTTCTTCTTCTTCTTTTTTTTTTTCTCTTCTCTACTCCTGGAATGCCTCCCTGCGTCAGGATAGGTTGAGATCTCTGGAACAGGTCCTTCTGTTCGCTTCGTATAAAGTACTCTTCAGTGTCTCTGATATTTCTCCTGTTAATATTATGCGTGGTCGACCTCTTGATCTTTTACAGCTGTATCTGTATATCATTGCTTTTCTTCTTCTTCTTCTTTCGTTCGCCTGAAAAAAAGTTGTCTATAAAAGCAATGTTGTCTCTCGTATAAATTTCACTGTCGTGGTTAGTTCATTTAGTGGTCCATAGAGTTAAAGTTCCACTGTTGTTTGTTTTTGGCCAAAAGGTTTGTCCTAATGTGTCAAATTCGGTGCAGTCCTGGAGTACATTCTCTGTTGTCTGGGGCACCTTTCCATTGGTGCACATGGCTGATACGCCTATCTTGAATTCTGTGTACATGTGGTTACGTAATCGGCTGTGCCCAGTTCTAAGGCAGGGGAAAATTACTTGTTCTGATCTGTCCATAATAAAATAGTCGTCTTGTGCTGGGGCTGGTGGTTTCCTGATCGATTTCAATATCCATTTCTTTTGGTGGTATGTGACTGGTACATCTAGCTGCACTTCTGTCGTTCTTCCCCTGCCAGTTGATCAGCTATCTTATTTCCAGACTCCACAGTTGGACAGTTTTCATTGCATTACGACTCTTCGCTGAAGGCTTAGTTGTATCAGCAGTGTTTGCAATCTGATAGTTTTCTACACCGGAGCGCTTCAAGTACGGATTTTGCATCTGTCAGCATTGAGTTGAGTTATGAACCAAAATCATAGCTCCCATGACATTGCTATAAGCGCTCAGTACCCATCCTCAGCAGGCGGCGTGTAGTTCAAATTGCATTAATACCTGTTGCAATTTGATTATAGGTGGGCATGACTTTGTTCTGAGCGTAGAGTCTCAGCTAGATTCTCTAATCCCTCGTAGTGATACCATTCTCTCCATTTCCTTATGACATATTAACGCTTCTGCACTGTCTGACAAAAGGAATATTTCTGTTCACGTTTCCAGGCCCAGGATTGGAGTAACTTCCCTTGCCATTCATGCCCCCTTAGGTCTCCTATGTTGTGAGGGAGTCATGTTTTTCTTTTTCTGAACGGTTTAACCGTTCCCTCTTTTTTTTTTTTCCCCTCTCACCGCTCGCTTGCGTGATTATTTTCCTATTCTGCTACCTGTGCGACAGTTCGAGAGTATGGAAACAGCGATATTTTTATATTTCTACACTTCTTGTAACTGCTTTTTTTTTTTTCCTTTCGGGAGGAAGCCAACTAACGCAGAATTTCAAAAAAATTCCAGTTTCGATAATCTAGAATGGTCGCGACTGCGGCGCTTCCCCCTGCAGTACTTCTTACTTGTACAGAGGCGCCTGAAGTCGACTCACAACAACACAACCTCCCACACACATTACATAAGCCGAGCAAACGCCTAGCCAAGCCATATAATAACACCCACACAATATACACTGAACTTTTGCTTCACATAAAGTAGCACAGAATAGTTATCTTATTCTTTAGCATTCTGAGCCTTTGAGGTTTACTGTTGCAGATATCACTCGTCTCCATTCATCTCTCAGGCTGGCCTTATCTTCACAATGTGTGACACCAGTTGTTTGCAGGTCTGGCTGGACATTATCTCTCGATATTCTTTTTTGTCTGCCTCGTGGTCTACGCCAATTCCTCTCTCAGGTGTATACAGTTTTACTTCTCTGTCATCTGACATTCTTTCAATATGCCCCAATCATTTTAGTCTGTTAGCTCTCATGGTGCCTGTGATCAATGGTGATTTAAACAGATTATATGTTACGTTGTTGTTTCTCACTCTCCTTTCCCCGCTGTTAGCATCTTTAAAGGGTCCAAAGATTTGTCTAAGACTGTTTTCGAAAACCTGTAAAAAGGCCTCATCTCTTTTATTTCTGCTTCAAGTTTCAGAGCCATATAAAACGACTGGTCTTATCAACGTTTTATATATTTTGATCTTGGTGTTGCGAGACACACTTTGACTTTAGCAGATTTTGAAGGGCATAGTATACTTTATTTCTAGATTGTATTCTAGATTTTTCATATTCTTTCAGCATGTTGGAGCAGTTGAAGTTTGCTCCCAAGTACTTATATGTTTCCGTTCGTTTGATTTTCATATTATCAACTTGTATGTGGTCCGAGTTTATATTCTTTCCATGTCTAGTTAGTATTCGTACAGAATAATAAACATTTAAAAACATTTTATGTTTTGCATCCTTCAGTCAGTCTGTGGTAACTAATAACTAGGAATGAAAGAATCCTAAGTATTATAACAACTAACTAAACTTGGAAATTGTCACTGACAGCTTAGCTAATGCATGAAAGCTGCATTAGCTTTCAACAAACCCAATCGTTTTATGTTGTCAGTATTTAGGGCGTGTATGCAGAAGCGGGTGTAAGGTAACTACTATTCGTATTCGACCTGACCGCAACTATTCGGCCAAATACGGAATAGTCAATAGGTCCACTATTCGGCCCCGAAGCGAATACGAAGCGAATTTACGGTATATATATATATATGTATGTGTATGTGTGTATGTGAGAGAGAGAGAGAGAGAGAGAGAGAGAGAGAGAGAGAGAGAGAGAGAGAGAGAGAAGAAAAAGAAATAGAAGAAGAACATCGAAATTGCATGAATCATATTTAATTAGCCACAAAGAGACTGGAAGTGTCGATTCTTTAAAACTTGATCCAAAGTGGGTACTATGATTAACAGGGCCAGAAAGGGTTTGGCGGCAATGAGAGTTATGGCTGAAATGTGTGGTCAACAAAGGCTGCTAGCCCCCCCCCCCCCCCCCCCCCCCACACCCCTCTATCATTGTTTGATCCTCTCTGTCAAAGAATATTTGATTATGTCCATCATTTTTGCAGCTTTTTTCATTTTCAGCGATTAAAACTACATCGTCAGCATCATCATCATGTAGCAGGTCCTTTGCAGAATGTTGCTCTCATCACAGTCTGCCTGAAAGAAACCTGGTCTCTCGCCAGTTCTCCCGCCTCATGTACTTTCATACTCAAGGAGTCACTTAGATCCTGATTTTCGTTTTGGTCGGCCCCTGCCCCTCCATCCTGGTACCATGCCTTCTGCTATTATTTTTTCCAGTCCGTCGTGGTGCTTGATATGACCAAAATATTTCAGCTTCTGAGACAGGATGCTGTTTATTAGCCAATCTTCCTTGATGATCAGATCTTTCAAGATGTCATTATTTTATCTTAGCAACGACGATAAATTGAGACCTATTCTGAATGGTTTCCAAACCATGACATGTCCTAAACTTTCGCTGTGTACGTTAGTGACCTTCAAATTTCGCCAGTGTCGAAAAACATGTGGACAAACAGCCTAAGAAATGCTTTGAAAAAAAAAACGAATTTGCTGGCAGGACGAACTTCAACATTGTACTTATATTATAGTGTTACAACATTGTACTTACATTATAGTGTTACAACATTGTACTTACATTATAGTGTTACAACATTGTACTTACATTATAGTGTTACAACATTGTACTTACATTATAGTGTTACAACATTGTACTTACATTATAGTATTACAACATTGTACTTACATTATAGTGTTACAACATTGTACTTACATCATAGTGTTACAACATTGTACTTACATTATAGTGTTACAACATTGTACTTACATTATAGTGTTACAACATTGTACTTACATTATAGTGTTACAACATTGTACTTACATCATAGTATTACAACATTGTACTTACATTATAGTATTACAACACTGTACTTACATTATAGTGTTACAACACTGTACTTACATTATAGTATTACAACACTGTACTTACATTATAGTGTTACAACACTGTACTTACATTATAGTGTTACAACACTGTACTTACATTATAGTATTACAACATTGTACTTACATTATAGTGTTACAACACTGTACTTACATTATAGTGTTACAACACTGTACTTACATTATAGTATTACAACACTGTACTTACATTATAGTGTTACAACATTGTACTTACATTATAGTGTTACAACAGTGTTACATTATAACAACATTGTACTTACATTATAGTGTTACAACACTGTACTTACATTATAGTGTTACAACACATTATAGTGTTACTGTACTTACATTATAGTGTTACAACACTGTACTTACATTATAGTATTACAACATTGTACTTACATTATAGTGTTACAACACTGTACTTACATTATAGTGTTACAACATTGTACTTACATTATAGTGTTACAACACTGTACTTACATTATAGTATTACAACACTGTACTTACATTATAGTGTTACAACACTGTACTTACATTATAGTGTTACAACATTGTACTTACATTATAGTGTTACAACACTGTACTTACATTATAGTGTTACAACACTGTACTTACATTATAGTATTACAACATTGTACTTACATTATAGTGTTACAACATTGTACTTACATTATAGTGTTACAACACTGTACTTACATTATAGTGTTACAACACTGTACTTACATTATAGTGTTACAACATTGTACTTACATTATAGTGTAACGGTTGTGGTCTCTTTCTGTCATAATGCGTTATTTGATCATATCTGTAGGATAGAACAATATCGTTTTTTATAATGAGCTGGGCCCGGCTCGCTAGCGCAGTTGGTTAAAACACTCTCGAGGCGACCTGGTGAAGAACTCCTTGTGGTCCAGGGGTAAGCAGGAAAGCCACATTTCTCCAAGATTTACGGTATCTATCATGGGATCAAAGGTTTGCAATACCCATGGCGCCGAGCCACAAGGTTTACAACTCATGGTTTCTGAATACTATATATATATATATATATATATATATATATATATATATATATATATATATATATATATATATAATGAATTGTAAATTATCTTTGTATAAATTATGTTGTGTATGTCGGCTCAGGTGTGGCGAACGCGCTTCGTAATGTTGAGGTGCCGGGTTCGATCCTTGCTTCAGGCAATTTGATCTTGCATTGGTTTCGCCAGTGTTATGGACAGCACACAGTTTAGAAGGTAGTGGCAAACTACTAAAAGTAAAAATATCGAGTTAAATCGCAAACAGCCGAAATATGCTGGGCTTGTTTTTGCAAGGTTCTGTAAAGGATATTAGGGGGCCAAGTGGTCTCGAGGTATGATGTCCGCCTCGAGTGCTGGAGGTCCCGGGTTGAAGCCCCGATGAAAGCTGGGATTTTTTCACGTGGATTTCTAGTAATTTCCCCTCGTCCCTGGGTAAAAGGCCAGATGCCCCTGTAGGTTCTTCCGCACCTCAAAAATCCCTTGGCAGTTGGAAATCGAAAAATTCAGAGTTAATAATCTACCAAAAGAATTTTCGGGATTCTCGCCGGTGCAACAGGAGTTCGTGCATTGCGCTGCGATTCTTCAGACTTAGGCTTGAGTTAGACGTAGAACGGAACACTTATGGATTACATCCGTGTGCCTTGACCTTGATCCGTTGAACAAGGATATGCAGCTATCCTTATTGTGTAAACATTAATTTCTGCTAATTTTTGGCGGGAGTTGCAGTAACGTAGCGACAGTGTGCTCGCCTACCGGTCCTAAGGTTTTAGGTTTAAAACCTCAAAGAGACCAATCTCTCTTTCAAAATAAGCTTGGCTTTCATGTGGACATATCATAAAATCGTTATCAAAATTGTCCTGGAAAGTAAAGGCGGCGGTGTGATGTTAACTACATCACCCAATGAGTAACCATTTGTCTATAAGAGCGGGTGTATAACTGTATGCTCGATGTGAGAAAAGGGTCCTCCATTAATCTGTAATTATTATTAGGAATAAACTCCACAGGAGAGCATGTACAGCAGGAGTCTACCAATCATCAGTAGAAGTAATCTCTCGTCGAACAAACGTTTCGGCCCACGAGCTCCTAGACGTTTTCAGAGAGTGGGCCCACCTGAGTTCACGAAGCTCATGGTTGGTTTCCCTGCTGCACGAAATTACCGGATGGTGTTCGGATAGGGACAAGACGACTTGGTGATTTTGCAGAAGGTACTGTGAGATAAGAAGTCGTCGCGGTAGCGTAATTAGATCAGTCTGCATACCTGGACGACCAAGCGACAAGCTTACGATTGGTATACCGGACACATGTTGGACTTTGTAAGCAGGTGGCAGAGGATCACTGGCAGACAATTCGGACACGATGGAATTTCAAGGGATAAGAAACTCTTTTTCACCAGACACCCGGACCAGCTCACCGAGGCCTGTCCCCTACGTTGTTCCGTTGCGTCCAAAGCCAGTTCGAGGCCCTCTCAGCAACCTCACCCAGCCGTTTAAGTGTCCGTTTGTGTTCATTTTATTCTAATCTCATAACATTCATTTTGCTGTTGTCCCATTATATGTAGAGACATTCACAGATTTCGCTGTTTCATCATTCGTTTCTATGGTGTGCAATCTCTTAGATGTTTGTTTGTTTTAGTATCCAAAAGCCAATGAGTCGTTAACTCTTAGGCTCGGTATAATGGATATCGCAACCTTTCGGCCTTGATTCCATTGTAAATTCGGTAAGAAAATATGGGAGAAATGTGGCTTTTCTGCCTTCCCCCGGGAGTGAACCCGGACCACATGAAGTTCGTCACCGCGCAATCCGGTTTAGCCAACTACGTTAGAGAACCGGGCGCAATCTCTTAGATATATTGGATATCGATCAGCCAGTCGATTACCTTTGGCTTCTCTCATCAACGTTCAATTTAGGTTTTTTTTTGTTTTTTTGGCGTCCTCGTTTCCTCGGTCCCTTTATTTCCCATTTTAGTGACTGCTTGGTAATTCTCTGCTAGTTTCCTGGTAGGATGTATCCACAATAGCCATCTTCTTTGCCGCAAACCTCTTGTTACCAGTGGTTGCTCAGACACTTCGCTTGTCTTTTCAGCCGTCGAACTCAACCCATTTTATGTTTAACTAGCTGTATCCGGCCACGCGTTGCTGTGGCCCAGAATAGTGAAATGGAGAGGAAAGAAAATAGCTCTCAACTAACAGTGTCTGTCATATCCCCCCCCCCCCTTTCCTCTCCCCTAAACCCAGTCATATCTCCCTCTCCGAAGGACTGAAAAATCATCTATGTCGAAATTATTAAAATAGAAATTGATAAGAAATGAAAACTTTTAAAATATATTTTCAGCTCTCTCAGCTAACTGTGTCTAGCATAAACCCCCCCCCCCCCCCCCCCCCCCCCCAATCATATCTCACTCTCCGAAGGATTGAAAAATCATCACCTAGCGAAATTATTAAAATAGAAATAGTTAAACAAATGAGAAATTTAAAATAATGTTTTAAGCTCTCTCAGTTAACAGTGACTGGTATCAACCCCCCCCCCCCCCCCCACCCCCTTACAAATCATATCATCCTCTCCGAAGGATGGGAAAGTTACCATGTGACAAAATATTGTGACTAAATTGAGCTTGGCATCCCTGTCCATCCATACTTAAACAGGTAGCATTACCTTGTACTGAGAAGTAAATGTGGCCAGTGTAACAGCTACCACATCACCCATCCAATACCAGTACTACTGCAACCACTACCACCACCACCACCAATACCACCATCACAACAACAACAACAATAAAAACTGTCACTACAGTCTGTGTAGGTCTGTGTAGAAAAAAGAAGTTAGCGCCGCATGCTGTCGCCACGGACTATTAAGTTTAATTTTGCCCCCGACATAGAAAAAAATAACTTCATCACGTAACCATTGATGGAACCCACAGTAAAAAGTACAATATACTCACGAATAGCGGAGAAAAATAACCCGCACCCGTCATCTCTCCCTCTCCAAAGGAACGATTTTTAACTGACCTTGGCATCCGTGTCCACCCAAACTAAACTGGACTGTAAGCCGTCTTAGTTAACAGTTTCTGTCATCGCCGAATAGTTTTTGATCAAGAAGCGTCGCGGGAAGGCTAATTGGGACTTAACTGAAAAAAGATGTTTTGGGGCGAGTGGCGCAGATATCGCAGCTTAGCTGAAACCACAACACAACGTGGCAACCACCCTTTTAAGGGAAAAAGAACAATTATCACCCAGCGTAGAATCGAACAGCGGTCACCCGCGTGAAGGATGGAATACTTACAGCTCTACTACCGAAGACTGTATAGTTTAGGTCAGATATCGCAGCCTGGCTGTAAACCACAACACAACGAAGATTACCCGTGACATGACCACTGAGCATCATGTCGCCGCTGTCGCAGGCTAGCTGTAAACCCCAAAACGGAAAAAAGGCGTAGATATCGCAGCCAAGCCATAAACCACAACACAACGTGCCAGTCGCCCAGTTAAGGGCAAAGAAAAAAATAACCTAGCGGGGAATCGAACTCGGGTCACCCGCATGATAGGCAGGATAGTTACAACTATGCTACCAAACACTCAAGAAGATAGTGGAAATGAAATTATATAGTAATGCAAAGTTCAACTAGAGCTTAGCAGTTAAAAATGCCCAATCAACTAAAAACAAATCCGGGCCGGCAACGAAACAAATAATGATTTGACCGTTGCTAGAGCTGCGTTATTCGTGGTTTGTGCGATTTTCTGACAAAAAAATTACGCTTTGAGTCGAAGGCAACGTTGTGTGAAAATTTGAAAGCAATCGGTTCAGTAGTTTCCGAGTCTATAGTTAACAAACTCGGAAAATGTACATTTTTATTAATATAGATATTTCCTTGGGAAACTATGTTACTTGTAATAATTATTGTAACAACGAGGGGATTTTTGTGTCGCAGTTGTTTTAGCAAGCTAGATTGTCGATGTTTTTGCCATAGACTTCAATCCCAGTCAAGATTTTTTTTTTTTTAACCACTAATAATATCTGGCAAAAGATTTGGTTGTTTGTCCACTTCTAGACTTAAGTCTTGTGCTAGAAGTTGAGTTTTACGTGCACGTCCGTTTTACAGGTATGACTTATTTATTCATTGTCTCTTAGCCAGAAGCACTCCGACTTCCAATGAAATAGCTTTAAGTAGTCGATTATTTACGACATGCTTATTGGGGAAGGGGGGACAGTGGCTCTATTCCCCCCCCCCCACCCCCATTTTTTCCCACTTGTGCCCCAGAACCCACGCGGGACAAAATATGGCGTTTAATATGACCCAAATATTCCCTGTTGAGAGAACGATACTCGCTGAAAAACAAAATGTGTGTTTAATAGAATGTCAATTTGAAGTATTTACTTGGGTGTTTGTTTGGGCAACTTGATCCAATATTTGTGTTTGTGCGTGTCTAAACACTGCACGTATAAACTAGAGGCGGTCGATTGAGCATGATATAGCATATATAGATGTCTTCAGAGATGGCAAACATGGAAACACTCCCATAGATGTTAACCCTTTCGCCGATTTAAAAAAAAAAAATATAGTAATAAAGTAAAGGACCTTTTTCCATACATTCAGGCGTATTGGGCATATAAGGCCAGACCTATATTTGTATAGACCGATCAGCACGTGGTGGGTGATGTGTTCAACATCACATCGGCCGTCTTTACTTCCCAGGACTTTACCTGGTACCATCTCAATTTTATCGTAAAACCAGTGCCGAAACGTTCATGTGAACACTGCAACGACTACTTA